TCCCATCACACAGATTTCTTCAAGGCTTTAATAAGCCTCTTTTGTAGATCCAATAAGAAAACATTTTCCAGGTCATTCACTTGGTCTTTCATTTATATTTCCCTTTTAATTTTTAAAACTTCAGCCAGTTTCTTTTGTGTATCCAGTGAAGCATCCTGTTCCAAATCATTCTCTTAGCCTATCATTCGTAGTTCCATTTTTGATACTTTCTCTATCTTGTCACATAAAATTTGTTCCACATCTGTCATTCCTTCATTAGCATATTTTAGACATAGTTATTCATAGAAGCAGACATGATTACTGACAGTGTTGATATTGTAGTCACTAATTTTTTCAAAGATCTCTTTTAATATTTCCGATGTGAGAACATTTTGTGTCATTTGAAAGTCCCAATATTAACTGATATCAAGAACAGGTTTGTATTTTTTTTTTCTGCTTAAAATCTTTAGTATCCAGTTTCTAAAATCATCACTTACCTTTTGTTATGACTTGCAATAGCCAGGATAGCCAAAATAAGTCTGTTTCCCATGATAAGCTGTTTCTTTTTTATAGTTAATTCCAAAATCTTATGGCAAAAATCAATATTCAAAATTTATCTGTACTCTTAATCTGCTGATAACTTTTTAGATCAAAATCTCATTTAGCTTTTTGCTGTTTATTTCAAATTCTTTAAGTACTTAAGCTTATGATTAATTTTTCTTTTGTTCAGAGTTCAAGATAAACTCACCCAGTGATGACTTTTCAAACTTGTCATTCCTTAGCTTTCTACTAGCTTTAAGATGGTTAATAGGCAATTTCTGAAAGTGATTAAAAAGTGGGGTTTGCAAACTTAGTGGCCTTTAAAAGGGTCTACTGCAGTTGCAAGCAAGATGGCTGATCCCATTGTCTCTCGGCGCTCAAACCACAGAAAACCACTGTCCTGCAGTCTTGCTCTGAGGAGCAGCTGTCCAGAGTGTATGTAGGCAATCCAGAGAGGTTCCAAGGAACTGGTCTACTCACCAGTTCCTTGGTCTTTGCCATGGTCATTGACTCTGCTTTCACAGAGCTGTCTTCAGTTCTCCATACCCCTCCTAGAAGTCTCCTCACTATGGCATTTCTGAGTGAACAGCACATAAAAACAACTAAAAAAATAACACCAGCAATAATAAACAACAATATAGTCAACCCCAAGGCCTTAATACATATTCAGTTAGTCCTTGTTTGGTGACCATAATTAGTACTGTCAACTCGGTCATTAAGCGAAGTGGTTGCTAAGTGAAACTGCAGCTGTGCTTACAGTCTTACTTCAGCTTTTCTTTGCTTTACAGACCTGAGAAGGTCGTAAAAAAACCAGTTTGGTCTAGTGGTTAAGGCATCAGGCTAGAAACCAGGAGACTGTGAGTTCTAGTCCCACCTTAGGCAAGAAAGCCTAAGGGCCAGTCACTCTCACTCAGCCCAACTCACCTAACAGGGTTGTTGTTTTTGGGAAAATAGGAGGAGGAATGAGTATTAGATATGTTCATTACCTTGAGTTATTTATAAAGATGATAAAGACAGGATAAAAAAAATATTTTAATAAACGCAAGGATTGGTCATAAAATTACTTTTTTATCACCGTCATAACTACAAATGGTTGCTGAACAAGGCAGTTGCTAAATGTGGACTACCTGTATACCTAAATGACTACTGCAGGCAATACTCGAAACAACAATAAAAGACTGCAACATTTCACAGGTTCAAATTAATCTCCTGACCCCTGTGCCCAGGAACACAACTAGGTCTTTAAGCCTTCCCAAAAGCCAGCAGGGTTAAGGAAAGTCAAATATCTGGGGCTCTGATGTTCCAAAGGACCTTTCTATTGTAGGGCCTGTTTTCTAGCCTCCACACGTGGATAGTGCAACCCCATCTAGAAATGAAGATGCAAAATCACCGGAACCCAGAGGGCCTAAAACCCAAAGCTACTCACTCTTGCTAGAGTTGAATGAACCTCCCATCCAGACCCCCATAGCCTCCAGACACTGAGACAGAACTTCTGCAGCATCACTTGGTCGGTCAGGGGCATAGATGTATTGCCCTATGTTGTATGACAACCTCACCCAGCAGCTTCATGTAGATAGCAGGAGTGGGAAGAGTATTGAGCCCTGAGGAACTCCACAGAAAAGGGGCTGTGGACGACATCTGTCCCCCCACCCCAACGCTGACTAAAACTAGCCCTGGAAGAAGGAGAAGAACTAACACAACACCTTGTCTCCAGCTCCTAACTCCCAAAGATTATCTGGTAAGATATAATTATTGATGGTATCAGAGGCCTCTAAGAAGTCATGAGAGCAAGGATGGACATACCACCCCCATCCCACTCCCATCAGAGGTCATCCACAAGCACCATCAATACTGTTTCACTCCCATGCCCAGATTTGATATCTAACTAAAAGAGGTACAGATGATCCATTTCCACCAAAGCTTTTTTGAAGCTGCAGTAACCTAAACCTAAAAAGGGAAGATTGAAGACAAGGTAAAAGTTGTTCAACACAGTCAGGTCCAGCAATGGTTTCCTCAAGAGAGTACAAATCACCACCTCCTTAAGTGCTGGCAAGACTACTGTCTCTCTGAAGGATGGATTTAAGATCCCAACTATATATCATCTCCCAGGAAGTCTTAGCTAACTGGGAGGGACATGGATCTAATACACAGGCAGCTGCACTCATAGTTCCAGAGAATCCTGTCCACTTCCTTGGGACCAACAGGTTTGAACTCTTCCCAGATAACCAATATAATTATTTGGCTTTAGTCAACTCCATAGGACCCACTTCAGTGCCAGTGTTTAACTTGAAGCAAATCCAAGCAACCTTATTTGACTGATACTGAGCATATTCCCCTCAGCAGCCCTGCAAGTGAACACCCAGCTCCACCGTTCCCAGGAAAGACTGGGCCACTGTAAACAGGCCCACTGGGGAACTATATGCAGATGTAATAAGGACAGAGAAATGTTGACATTTTGCCACCCTTACCACCATGAAGTAGGCCCTAACAGTGGATCTGGCTCATGATCAATTGAGTTTACTCCATGTTATCCTTCAGTAGTGCTACAGGTACCTCTTCATCTCCCTCAACTGCTCTATAAATCAAAGGGAGCACTGGGATCCATGTGAAGAGAGAGGCTGCATAGGTATGATCCAATCCAGAACCCCAGTAGCCCTCTCATTCCAAGTGGTGATTATGGCTTTGGGTGGACAATACACTACATCTTCAGGAACAACCCCTGAGGTGGGTTTCATTTTTTGGGATTATTGAATTAAGTTGAGCTAAAGGAATTCAGAGAATGTGGATCACCAGTTTGGGGAAACATGTTTGATGCACCCCTTCCTATCTGAGACAATGAACCAATTGTGGCAACTGAGTCTGACCATGAAGTCTGAAAGGGAAAAATAAAACTTGTTGGTGAAGTGTGAAGGGTATATACAGAGATCTGAATGTTGCAAGCAACCCCAGGAATGGCTGCAGAACAACTTTAAGGATCTGATAGATCTAGAGTATTCCAGAAATATTTTCCTTTTTGAAATTCTTTGAAGCACTGAAGTTATCACAGTTGTATTCCTTGTTGCTTTTCAGCTAAACCATATCTTCTTACTAGGTTATTATTTTTGTTCCATTGTTGGAGATTATCTTATTGTCTTTGTGATAAGTAGAATCTACAGTATATGCTTAGATTTGTTGCTCTTCATTAATGTATTGAATAGTTTAAAAAAATACCTAACCTGGGTATGATGCATGTATGCATGCATGTGTATTAATATTAAGTATTATTCTTATTGTTCCATTGTATTGTTCACTTCCCCTTTAATAAAACTGGCTGTTTATATTGCCACTGGTATTAATCTTCTCTTAGCAATATTTTCCTCTTCCCAGAAACAGATGGACATTATGTGCCCACCCCACTACCCCCTTCACATTTGTTGCTGAAATGCAACTCCAAGCTGCTCCAGCCGGCATGCCATGGGATGTTTGGAATTGCAATTTAACAACTTCTGGTGGCCCATACATTTCCCATCCCTAATATGCCTTGATGTAATGATGAGTGAGTATGTTTAGAGAACGTCAGGTTAGCAGGGAGTAGATGTATGCTACAGTCAGATGGACAAATCAGTTATTGTGATTTTTGTCAGAGTACTGTTACTTGATGGGTTACAAATGAACAAACCAGAATTTGAATAATCATATATATTTCAGCAATACTTTGCCTCAGAGATTTAACCTTTGCCTCAGGGATTTAGTTCTTTATTTAGAATAATGCCTTCAAATACTTCGTCATGGAACTGATGTAAGAAAGCAGGTTTATTTTATTTTTAATCTTTCCATTTGAAATTCTATTTCTTTTAGGCCCAAATTGCCTTCCTTCAAGGGGAAAGAAAAGGTCAAGAGAATTTGAAGAAGGATTTAGTGCGACGAATAAAAATGTTAGAATATGCTCTTAAACAAGAAAGGTATGGTGCTTAACTCGTAGATATCTTATGAGCTGTTAACTGTTAAATGCAAGATCTACTTACTGTCTTATCTCAAAGGCAATATTGACTATCTTTTCCCTATTCTTTTCTCCAGTGCAAAATAAAATGTTATGAAATGATTAGGTGCAAATTTTCTAAGTATAATAGAAACTATTTGTAAAAAAACCAGCTACCCTTAATTCACATTTTATTTTTATAATTTTATTAAAAGTTTTAAAAAGGAATATAAAAACTAAGACAAACTAATATAAAGCAGGAAAGAAAAAAGAATAAAAGAGAAAGCTAAAAGTGCAAGAAAGGGAAAAAGTAAAAGAAAAATAGAAAAGAAAAAAAAATACAAAAAAGTGTCTTCCAATCTTTTTATAGCAGTTATAAGTATGATTATAAATTTACCACTTTCTCTAAAGTTACACCATGTCTCTCTTCTTTCTATAATCTATCCTGTCTAATCATCAAATCCATAAATCATAGGTTCATGTTTTTCTGTTTTCCGCAAATAGTCCATAATGGGTTTCCAGTCAGCAATAAACATAGATATTGTCTTTTCTCTAGGCAAAGAGGTCAATTTGGCCATCTCAGTGAGTTCCATCATCTTCACCAACCATTCCTTCATTGTAGGCATTGCCAACTCTTTCCATCTTTGTGCATAGAATAATCTTGCTGCAGTTATAATGTAAAAAAACAAAGTTCCATGACTTTTTTTTAACTGTTTGTCCATCAGTCCCAAAACAAAGACCTCTGGTCTCA